CAGCTGACTACATCATGCTCCCAGGGAGGTCAATGAGAGTTTTGCCTCTGAATCCAGAGAGTGGAAGAGAGGCCCCAGTATGAGACTTGGCTTCAAGTTTACTAGTTTTTACAGGTTCATTTACTGCTATGCAGTGCCTGCAACAACATTGCTTAGGTACATATAGAACTAAATTCCATAGGGAGTTCTGCTCTTCATTAAAAAACTACACCTGCATGACATCCAACTATTCAGTCAATGGGATACCTAAAAATGGCTTTGAGAATCTTGGAGTTTTTCCATCTTTTTAAGTTAAGATCAAACAGGTAAGTGTAATAACACCCACATATTTGCAGAACAGGAAATGGAGACAGAGAGATTAAGTGACTTGCCAAAGGTCACTTTCTGCCAGTGACTTAGCAAGCAGGAGTCCTGAGCGCTAGTCTACTCCTCTTAACAGGCCACAATTACTCCCCACTGTAGTTTAGAATACATTTTAATTTTAATACACTTGTTATTCACAAGTCTTCTGGAAGAGATTTAAGAAAAAAAGATTTTTCCTAATAATTACAAATATATTAAAATAGAGAGCAGGCTGACATTTCCTGAACTCATTACTTTCCTGGCAACATTAGCAACACTCAACTGCTACCAGTGCTGTGTGCATCAAAAAAATAAATAAAATATCTTGTATAATCTTATTTTTCTAAGAAAAAACGTAATTAATATTTAAGTTTACTCCTTTCTATTGAGTCACGTTTTTCGCATGCCCAACTCTGTCAGCTTAAATGAAATGTGCATTTCATGCAAGATAGAACACCACATACTAAAGTGGCCTTTGAATTTCCATCACTTACAAAGCATTTGCTCAGCTCCAATGCCATTTAATTTTAAATTTCCCTTTTCCATTTCTCACCCCCTTTTCAAGTGCTCCCCCCACAACACAAAGCTGCCTCTAAGCTGTCTTATTAATGCTCATGATAACACTACAAAACTGTCAATTTCTGACAAGATACTTGCTTTTCCACACTTTTGGCATTTTTAAAGTTAACTATTAAACGAAGCACTTCTCACTCAAGCACATTCAGCTTCTAAAAATAAGCTTCCACACAGCCAGACAATCAAAATTTGTGCTCAAGTCCAGTTAGTATTTCACCGATTACTGCAGTGACGTTGGCCTTAAATCCCATCTTAAGATATTTAGTTAAATCAACAAAAGGGGAAATTCACTGAAGGGCCTCCTCTTAACAATTTTTATGCAAAACCACCGTTAAATTTTAATAGGAGTTCTGAACACAGAATAATAGGCACACAAGACATGGTCTTATACTGCAGAAATAAAATTGTGGGTGTTGAACATCTTAGATGCTCCATATCCAGTTTGTTCATTTTACAAACAAAGATTTTTCTAATTGCTATGTTCTGCAAACACAAGAGGAGAACTGAAAGTCAAGATGGGTTCCTTCTGGCCCATTAGCAATAAGAGGTTCTTCAACTGGAACTTGGTTAACAATGCTATTGATTAAGCTAAAGCCAGAAAAGAATCCAGCTAGTAGTTCTTGCATACCGAGAATGTCTCTGTAGGCTAACAGGAGTAAAAAGTAGTAACATCTGTTGAATAAGAAGGTGCCATTTTCATAAATGTACTTTAAGATATTTCCTACTAGGAAATAAATTTTCTTTATACTGCATTCAGATCTTGAGGATGGTTTTTTAGCTCTTTTATAGCACTACTCATCTTTACATCTCAAAGCATTTTACAAAGGAGGACAGTATTATCCCCATTCACAGATAATACATACGCTTCAGGTTGGTGTTTTAAACAGCACACCACTTACAAGATTGTCAATTACTATTTTCCACTGAATGCATCCGATGAAGTGAGCTGTAGCTCATGAAAGCTCATGCTCAAATAAATTGGTTAGTCTCTAAGGTGCCACAAGTACACCTTTTCTTTTTACACACACAGGATCCAATCACTTCATCCACTTCTAAAACCAAAGATGGCAAATTCTTAACAGTGCACAGCAACAACAGAAGACACTTCAGGTGAAGAAAAATATCGTATCCTAATTAAATGGCAGGGGGAATTTGGGTAGTTACACAAAATACAATTACCAAAGGTAGAATGGTTTGGGACACACTTGCTAGGAGTGGCGTGGATTTTTAGTGATCAGAATGGTCAGCACTTCCATTTTACACTTGACCTTGATTCTAGGACCCCTTGATGCTAACATCATGCTACTCCATCAATTTAGCCCCTATTAAAAGATAATAGTGCCAAAAATTGAACCACCACCATCCTTGAACATTGGATGTCTCCCATTAACTAGAGGATCCACACCCACCTAGCTTGGGTTGTAACATCTGAAGTGATTACATTACAGTGGTATAGTCATAGACATAGATTCCAAGTTTCCTGTCTTAATAAGAATAATTACAAGTGTTTAGCTACTGTATTATCGACAAAAACCATAGAGTTCTTTGTTCCAACAGTAAGTATGTCTGCTTAACGCTTATATAGTATGTGGATTGAGTAGTCAATACCACATTGACTCTTTCAGGACTAAATACTTCCCTTCACTCTTTTAAGTGTAAATAGTTGTGGGCCCTAAGCTTCTGTCCAGGCCCTGCCTCCTAACAACAACATCAAACAGCTCTATACAATCTCATTAAAGTACAAACCAATTTTAAGTGCTCAGAATAATGTATATGGGATTCTTTCTACCCATTTCTACTTCTTGCAACTAACTAGGATCCAAACAAGAAGTACATAAAAGCCCAGACTCCCATGGCCATAATAACAACACGTGATAATGTCTGACACAGAAGTGAGAGGTACTACTGTACAGTGGAAGCAAGAAGGAAAGAACCTTAGAGTGAAGAGACAGCAGGTTCCTGAAGTAGGTTCAGCTTTGGTGGCAAGGTCAGAAAGGACATGGACTATCAACAGCGTTACTCCCTTAACAAGCCTAGCAAATGCAGCATTCAACACAGAAGATTTTGCCTTTCTGTTGCTTGAGAAAAACTACAATGAAGACTAATGACAGTCAAAGGAAGACTTGGAATCATGATGGGAAGGAAGAGTTCTATGACACCTTCATCGGTTGAAATTCATCAGGCATATCTGATTCTCCAGTTATATACATTTTGTCTGAGATATGTGGTACATGCTTACTTTAAATCTGTGTACTAGACTTCCTTCAGCAGTTGTGAGATGACAAGAAAAACCCACAGAGTCAGAAGGGTGTCAAGTGCTCTATGTCCCTAAACCACTCCTAATTGGTAACAATAAAAATAGTGTACAGCCAGCCTTAATAAGGGGGGGGGGGGGTGGAGGGGGGGAAAACACACAGTTAAGATTGTCCACTGGAAGTATGACTAGGGGAGTCCATTATTTCACATATCTAAATCAGCATATAAGTGGAGCTTTTTCCCCAAGAAAAAACCTTACCCTTAAGCAAATATTTCCTACATAGGGAGGTTACAAATATTTATAGACATACTTATACTAAAGTAATTCTAAAAATTCTTATTACAGTTCCAGGGAATGAATTATCTTCTCCTCTTCCTTAAAATAATTATTTATTAAGTATTATTTTATCTGTAGAGGGGAAATTTTTTTTAAATAGCATATTTGTATCTGCATACTTCTGTTATATACACATTTACATTATCTATAAAATGCATTTATGTGCATGAATATAAAAAGATATGCATACACAAATATTTTATATTTTTGAATATTTACATGTATAGCAGTTTGCAAAGCAATTAGGCATCAAACATATTGTCCAGAACAACAGTCCAATGACTACAAATGCCAAGAACCCAGCATAATAAAAACAGTATTATTGCAATGGGATTGGGAGGCAAGATGAAAACACCTTAATAAAGAGGTGGAGTGAACGCAAACACTTTTAGACAACAGGCACATCATCCTTCCCCCCCCCCCCCCAACCTCCCATCCCCATTACTTAGGGGACAGACAGAGCTCTTCAAGTAAATCCAGTTGTTTGACAGTGACATATGCATGCAGAGGCAAATTGTACCTCCCCCTCTCGCCCCCCCTCCACTTTTAAATATACCAGTTTGGAAAAAAACCAAAACCAATATGCGACCCAGCAGTATGCAAAAAATTGGTAGCCATCCTCCGAAATGCAATCACCTACAGGGATCCTCCAACCTATTCACCAAAAATGAACAACCAACTTGCAAACTTTCTGAAGTGATGCTGACTACCTTTCTGGAATTGCTTACACTCCTTTTTAAAAATAAAAAAAATGCAATTATTTAAATTAAAATTTTCTACCCAATAAGGTAAAGTTAGATCAATTAAACAGCAAAGAAAGAAATAATCCTGGTCTTAAAATGGATGCAGCAGAATCTTTTAAAGAGCAACATGTTGTAACCACCTTTCATTTTAGGGGATGAGAGGAATTGACTGAAAGAAACAAAACTGAAGAGGAGAGAGAGGGGTGGGTGGAATAAAGGCTGCTTAGTGATTTATTTAACCTAAAAACTTTGCCTTTCCCCTTCTCTGGGAGGGTATGTGGGTCGGGAGGTGATGATTTCTCCCGTGTTTCTCTGCAGGAGGCTCCTGCTCGGCAGCTCAGGGTAGGAGGAGAAGGAAAGAAAGAGACACACACAGAAGAGAGAGGAGAGAGAAAAAGAAAATGGCGCAGAGACTAAGTCCTGACCGTCGACAAGGCGACTTTCCAGGGAGGAATCGGGGCCCAAAGGGGACCCCAGGAAACCCGGAGGGACCGGATCTGGGGCCTGCATTGCCCCCACTAGGAGAAGAGGGGGTCGGGTGGAGCCTAAGCCCCTCGGAAGCAGGAGCATTTGGCAGCTCGATGGGAACAATGGGGCCGGTGAGCGAGGAGACGGGACTTAGTCTCTGGGACGCCATGTCTGTCCTTTACCATCCTCAGTAACACAGAAGAGGGGGGGGAGCGAAAAGGGGAGGTAAAGTGGGGTAAATCGCCCCCAAAAGGCGGGGGTGGGGGGCAGAGACTCACCGTTCGCTCGGAAATCCGCCTCGATCTGCAAGGACAAGTGAAAGCGAGTGAAAAAAAAATCATGTAGGTTTTCAAAAACAGTAAAAGAGCCTGATCCAGGGGGTAGTTTTAAATGAAGAGGAAGGAAATCGAATCACAGTCCGTTTCCCACACAGACACGTATTGGGAGGGGGTCCCCCCCCCACAAATCAAGGGCGGGGGGCGAAATTCAGACTTCCTAGCGCCCCAAAGTTTTAACCTCCCCCCAACCTATTTTAAGTCCCCCCTCATGCTTATGTACCCATTCTCTGGGGCACCCCTGCCCTGGCACCCCTTCCCCCGCATGAAAAGGGGGGGGCACATTCCCATCCTCTCTGGATCTGTCTTTTAAAGGGAAGGCAGGAGAAAAAAATCCCCCCGTGTGTGGCTTGGCTGGGATTTTTTTTTTTTTTTGGGGCGGGGGGGAGGTTACAGACCTTTATGTGTCTATGGGGAAATCACCAATCACAGAGACTGGAGGAGCCCGCGGGGCAGTGATCAAGGCATCCCACCCTAAGTGTCCGAGGGCAAATGGGGAGGGGGAGCCAAGGGGGTTAGGGATCCAGAGCTCTGGGAGGGGGAGGGCCGCCCCCACTAAGGTGATATGGGGGTGAGGTCACCCCGTGGCCCCAAGGGATACTGGGGGGCCAGGGGCACCTCCAAGTGCCTGAGGGGATTTTGGGGGGCTGGAGGGCCCCACTGGGGCCCCAAGTGCCTGAGGGGATATGGGGGGGTGCGTGCGGGTCCCTCACCTGGGAGTCGTTGTGCAGCTGGTCCCCGCTCATGCCGGCTGGTGGGGAGGCCTACACAGGAGCAGAGGCGCCTGGGAGCAGCAGAGTCTGAGGCCGAAGGGAGAGTGCAGCCCCCTCACTCAACACAGCGGCCAGTTGTGTAACAGACTAAGTCCTCATTTCCCCTCAGTGCGCAGGCGCCGCTGCTTTTAAACCGGAGGAGGGGCTGGTACGGGAGGGGGAGAAGGAGGAAAGGAGTGAGTTCCGATATTTGCATGCTCGGCCTCGCCTTGTCCCCAGCTCCAATTAGAAGAGAGCTTCGCTCATATTAGCATTCCAGCCACGCCTCCTCTCGGCTCTCAGACCTCCGGGTTAGATTTGCATGAGAGCCACGCCCACCACCCCTCTCTGCGCAATTTATGAAAAAAGCCGGTTTGCTATTTGCGTACGCAGCACTCTTCCCTCCTTTCAGAACGCCGGGTGCAATTTACATATCCGGTCCCGCCCCTCCAGCCCTCTCTCCAGTCACGAAGGAAAGGCAGGCGCTTATTTGCATATCCTCCCACGCCTCCTCCGAGGGAAGACTGCTGCCCGCCCGCGGTGGAAGGAACGAAAGCCCGTCCCAACGTGCGCGTAACGCTCATGCGCAAGAATTCCTCTATTTGCATGTGGGGCCCCACTCTTTCTCTGCAAGCCCCACTGACTGTCAGCCCCAGCTAAGGTTGCATTACAAGGGCAGAGGAGCCAGGTGCCAAAGCTGGAGGGCAGGAGCCGGAGCAGCAACTTTATTTTCCGACCTGCCTCCCATACAGCTCTTCTCAGCTGCCTCTGACCCCAGTACACAGAACAGGGATCAAACATCTGCTGGGGTGATGGGGGCGTAGGGGGGAGAGATCAGGATGGGAAATACATGAGCCCCTCAAGCAGGCTGAGAGAAGGCTAGCAAGAAGTGGATGGGAGTGCGTGGGGTTGCACACATCCATCCCCTAAGGAAGCCAAGGAAATCTCCCATCCCCCCAACTTTCCCTCTAAATTAGCCCATTTCCTGGCACAGGAAGGGTTTGATTGTAATCCTACTAATTGCTCGTTTTCAAAGTCATATTTTATAAATTAGATTGAAAACTCTCTGGGACAGGGACTGTGACTAACTGTGTGTTTGTATAACGCCTAGCCCACCACTTCAGCTGTTTGTCTTTGCTTGCTGCTGTGTTATGGTTTATTTAAGATTGTGGACTTTTTGGAGTATGGACAAGTCTTCCTATATTTTAGTAAACTCCAGGAGCAACTCTAGCATAGCATAAATAATTGTGATTGTTTTATTTTCTGAAATCTTTCTCCAAAATGTGGCTTCTTATATATTTTGGCCTTGATTCTCCACTCTATTACACTGGTTTTCCACCAGAATAGCTCCACTGCAGTCAAATGAATAGTGCTGATGTAGACTGGAGAATCAGGCACTGACACTTTCAATCTAAATCTGTGAAATGTTCAAAATCAAATTGTGAGATAATCATAGCAGTACTGGCTATAAGTGGAGGTGGGTGTACTGGAGAACCACTGAGCATATTACCAAACTTCATTATTTATTATGTGTGTTGCAGTAGCACCTGGCTGCTAAGGGCCACACTGTGGTAGGTGCTGGACAAATGCACAGCTAGACTTGCACTGGGCTTTACGGCAAGGGCAATAATCAGTAGTGCCTCATAGGTTGGATCTTTTCTTTTGAAAATGGAATCAATCAGCCAACAGATTTTTTTGTAGTGTAAACAGTCCCTTAAACATAATTTCCTATATGGAAATTGAAGGAGAATGAATCTTATACCTTCCTATAAAGAAAATCTGAAAACATTTGTTTGTGTTCTGCAACAGTTCACGGCCTCACCAAAGGGGCTTTCTCTCTGATCTACTGAAAGGACAGTTTAGTATATGTGGCTGGTACAATATCTCACTGGACTGCCTCAAGTCTTCATCTTGGAGTTTCCTTCCAGGGTTACTACATGAAATGTACCTTTCCCCTGCTCCTTTACACTACTGGATCCTTGATTTGACATTAAAATAATCCTGTGCTGCCAGGCTAAATGAAGAGCTCAGGAAATACATAGAAATGTGAGCAGGCAGCAGCAGCCACTACCTATTTGCTATGAATATTTATATTCCTGTAAGGGTAAAACTCTGTCACTTTCTCACAATCTTCAGAAGAGGATGTGAGTACTCCCCTTTTACCAGCCCCAGCCAAATATTTCTGGCTCCAAATCTGTTTATTATGTCAACTGATTTAGTAACTGATAGTTTTTAAAATATATTCTAATGAACTGGCTGGACTGTGTAGCATGGGCACTAACAAAGATTCTCCTTTGGTTCAAGTGGAAAGAGCATTCATATTTGAGTTCTATTCCACAGTCATGCTGAAGTTCTGAATGACCCTGGTGGGAGCATAGGAATAATCAGGAACTCATAGGAGTCCAGTGGTTTGTTACGCTATTTGCATTTTGTTGCAGCAGGACATTTATCTGGTGCCAAAATTATGGGATCTAGGCAGCCTTAGAAACCCCTAGAGATACATTTGTTTGAAGCAGCAGTTTAATTTACTATAAGAAAGTAGTACAGTAGGGCCAGTTTTACTGTTCTTGAGATAGTTTCTATCAGAGCTTGAATGGGGGAGATTTGGAGGTACAGAATACCACTATCACCTCTTCCAAGTGCTATCTTGTGCTCCAGAATCTCTGCTTGGATTTATTTTTTAAAGCAAGTTTCTAGTCCTTCCGTTTGCAAAGAAAACCTTCAAAATGTGAAATGAGTGTAACCATTGCAGAGACATCTGCCGACAGCCTGAAACAATAGCACCAAGAGGTATGAACCTTCCCTGAGGATGACGGCTATGTTAATACAAACTATGTACCTTGAGGAGCACACCAGCAGGGTCTGCTCAGGTCAAGGAAAGTGTAATATATTAGAGGGCTCTACAAATCAACCCCTTGAGTGCACTTTGTTGGCACGGTGTAGAGAAGCCATCAATGAAGTGTGAAGTCAAAGCCCAATAATGATCATTTAAATGCCAACATTGTTGACTCTTTTACTGCTGATCAAAGCATTTAGTGACAACTCCTTCTGGCACCTTAGGTGGCTGGTGCTTGGATGATAGTACCACTCTTATGACTCCCTTCTCAAAAAGGAGGGAAAACACAAGGAGCCTTGCAGAGCCCAGCAGGACATCTGAGTCTTCTATGGGGGAACTAAGCCCAAGGAACCCAGCAGAGATCATATCTTGGACATCTGGACAATCTACTGTGAGTGACACATCATCTTGGTGTCTCAAGTGCGTGGACCCTGTTTCATGGAAGAGTACCACTGCCCTTTTTCCAATCTGCTCCTTGATCCTTGGGGAGACAGGATTGGAATAAAAAATTACTCACGGGCAGAGGCCATAGAAGCCTGATATTAAACCCCATCCACACTGGAAATTGGACTGTGTTCGCTGAACCACGTCTCTGGTGGGAGTTGGCATCTGCAGGGAGACAGCAGAAAGTTTCTAAGATCCATGAAGATTTTTTCCCATAATTGTTCTGTCAGCTTAGCCATGTTCTGATGCTTGGTAACCTGCCATGTAGACTCTTCAACACACGCAGTGCCTACCCTGCTTTGAATCAGGTACTTTATGATCCTTACCCACTGTTGCAAATTGGCTCAGAGTGCACCTTAGTTTCATCTTCCCATTTCTGGATGTCAGGAGCCTCCACCAATTACCAGATATAAATGTAAGACAAAAGGACGGTCATTGAAAAGATATTTATAAGCATACTAAACTGTAATGCCTTTGCAGTTACTTCTGCTGGAACAAGTTTAATAGAAAACTCACAAAATCCCACAGGATCCTGCAACATCCTACAAACTGCACCAAGGGAGTCTAGCAGTTTTTAGTTACCCCTTTTTACCTAATTTATAAGCACATGTCCATTTATAAACATGTCCATTACCCAAGTAAGTGGGAGACTATTTGACTATCTATTATTCAGGACTTGCTTTGTTATTGCTGGGGAACATCCATTCAAATGAATGGAATGTCAGTACAAGAAATGTCTAGTTTAATTGGACATTTCAATTACATTTACCAGCAGGGAAGTGGTTAACGTTAAAGTGTGATTCTGACAGCTTACAGAGGCTATGATAGCTCAATGTAAATGGCGAAGTCCACACCTCTAAGTGCTATTTTTTCAATCTGTCCCTCTGCTGACTCAACAAGACAGCAGTGCCTCATCCAAGGGGCTAACTTTGAAAAGAAATAGCTGGAAACTATATTTTTAAATGAAATCATAATTCCTGGTGAATTAAAAAAAATCTGCAGGAAACCCTAAAATCTTCAGATTGCCTGAATTTCTATTCTCCAGGCTCCTATGTATTTGGGTCATTTGGTTCTGTGGAAGTATATGATAAAGGTCTCTCATGGCACATCTGAAAGAGGGAGGTGGCACCTCAGTGTCCTGGCTAAAAAACCCAAACCAGATTCTAATGCAGAAGTGGGCAAACTATGGCCCGCGGCCCATGTCTGGCCTGCAGGACCCTCCTGCCCGGCCCTGGAGCTCCTGGCCTGGGAGGCTGTCCCCCATCCCCCGCACCTCGGCTCATTGCACCGCCGGTGCCATGCTCTGGATGGCGGGGCTGCGAGCTCCTGGGGCAGTGCAGCTGCAGAGCCGCAGCCTGACCCGGTGCCCAGAGCTGCGCGGTGGCGTGGCTGGCTCCAGCCAGGCGGTGCGGCTGTAGCGTCGCCAGCCACCGGTGCTCCAGGCAGTGCGGTAAGTGGGCATTGGGGGTTGGATAGAGAGCCGGGGAGTTCTGGGCGGTGGTCATAGGGTGGGGATGTGGATAGGGGTCGGGGCGGGAACAGGGGGTTGAATGGGGGCAGGGGTCCTGGGGGGGCAGTCAGGGGCGGGGGGGGCGGGGTCGGTCAGGGGACAGGGAGAAGGGGTGATTGGATGGGGCAGGGGATCTGGGGAGGCAGTCAGGAATGAGAGGACAGGTTGGATGGGGCGGCAGGGGGCAGTCAGGGCTGGGGGGTGCGCGGGCGGTCAGGGGACAGGGAGCAGTGGGTGGTGGATGCGGCAGGAGTCCTGGGGCAGCCATCAGGGGACAGGGAACAGGGGAGGTTGGATGGGGTAGGAGTCCCAGGGGGGCCATTGGGGGTGAGAAGCAGTTGGGATAGGGGTCGGGGGC